CTAGGTTTCACCAAACTTTCCCTGACGATCCGTTTAGGTGAAACCTAGGTAGGTTTGTCTGGCTCACTAGGTGTATCTATCTATTATCTATCTATCTATCTATATATATATATATATATATATATATATATATATATATATATATATATATATATATATATATATATATATATATATATATATATATATATATATATATATATATATATATATATATATATATATATATATATATATATATATATATATATATATATATATATATATATATATATATATATATATATATATTGCATGGAGCACTGTTTTAAAAATAATAACAAAAATACTAAAGAACTTTTGATTATTTACCTAACGAGTTCTTTCCTATTTTCTATATATTTTCACACACACACACACACACACACACACACACACACACACACACACACACATATATATATATATATATATATATATATTACAATAAACGTGCAATCAATTTACAAATACATGAATTATTCATACAAAACTAATGCAAAGGTTAATGATTTAAATGGCGAGACATCCATCATCGCAAACAATTCAAATAGTACACAAAAACCTCCAGATCCGTTATGAATGAATTGATCCTTGTTTATATAAATTTCTGCCGTATTAGTTGTTATTTTTACTACAAGCTTTCGTACAGACATCTTCAGGTATATAATAGATGTTGTTCATGTTTAAATCATTAACCTTTGCATTAGTTTTGTGTGAATAATTCATATATATATATATATATATATATATATATATATATATATATATATATATATATATATTCCGAAATCAACATGATAGTTATTTTACGGGATTATTGCTCTGTCGGTTGGGCATTACCTGCAATACTCCCAACCATCTGGGGAGTATACCCTAAGTGAATATTTAAAGATTCCGAGATAAACTGGACATGTCTGCCTTTTGACCCTAGTGTAAACAGGCTACTTGCCTATCTTTTGACTCAAGGAAAATCCCGGCCTGTGTCCGCTCAAGTTTAAACCAAACCTATACTGTTGTGGATTCCGGGATGAAATCCGGTCTCAAATGAATGACAAACGCAGGAATGAAATATAGCAAATAAATGTATTGACGTAATAATACAATTGGTAATACGGTTAGTAGATCTAGAAATGCGGTTAGTAGCAATAATAATATATATACAGTCTGGGAAATTCAGTATCGAAGTAGGACTTCCTTCTGAGTCTACGTGCTCGCAACTGTGACTCCTACAAAGCGGTTACCTCACAAGCTCTCCCTCTCTCACTGTATCACTTCCAGGTATTCACCGGCAGCAGTACAAGTACACACTAGGCGAGTCCACTTGTATAAAAAGGGTGGACCCTTTAACATATATTCAGCATTTGACTCAAATTTAAACCGCATCGACGCCTATCTGTGACTCAATTATGTCACACACACACGCGCGCGCACACACACACACACACACACACACACACACACACACACACACATATATATATATATATATATATATATATATATATATATATATTCTTCTCGTTGTTTTATGAGTATAGTCAATTACAACATTAGGAAACTGTATTTTGGATCCTTTGCAAGAAATTCTAATATTGGCAGAATTTACTTTCAGCTGAACAAATTACATACTGCCAAAATTCATAATCTTTCTTTTCGAAATCTCTCGACCAATACATACGCCTGTTCCTGTTAACCTCCGAAATCAAGGGCTTCTTTCTTGCAACTCTTCTTTGATAGCCTAGCTCTTTCAGAGTCTTTCTCACCACATATGGCGATATTTTCATGCTGTTGGCGACATCTTTGACGCTCTGATAACGGTTTCTGATGACTTCTCTCTTCAGCGCCATTTTGGTTCGCTCAGACACGATGCTTGGTCTTCCTGAACGTTGTTCCAAACGACAATGGCCTTCTTCATTAAATTTCTTGACAATATTATTAACTGTTTGATGATTAACCTGGAAAAACCTAGCTATTTCTCTATTTGACTTGCTACACTGATGCCATCCTATTATTTGCCCTCGTTGAAATTCACCAATTTTCTTACACGAACTTTCATTGCAAAATATAATTCAACTATCTTTTATATATGAGAGTAGCTTGATAGTAACACGCTATTGTCTGAAAAAAGAAGATACATTATTAAACCAGCCAAAATTGCTGTAAACAAGGGTGGCTAAAAACTTATCGTAGGCAACTGTACATGTCTACCTGTTGACACAAGGGAAATCCCAATCTCTGTCGGCTTCTGACTCAAGTTTAAACCAAAACCATATTCACTTTTTGACTCAAGTTTAAACCGGATCGACGTCTACTTGTGACTCAAATGTAAGTCAGATATATATATATATATATATATATATATATATATATATATATATATATATATATATATATATATATTCTTAAGATGTGCTATATTTATCGGATAAAGTGCTCAATATCAGAGATAGAAATATAAAGTGAACATAAAGTCAATACTTAGAGGCGACTGGCTGTTTCATGCCAGTGGCCTGACGATTGCATGAAACAGCTTGTCGCCTCTAAGTATTGAATTTATGTTCACTTTTATATATATATATATATATATATATATATATATATATATATATATATATATATATATATGTATGTATGTATGTATATAGATAGATAGATAGATAGATAGATAGATAGATATTCTTCTTGTTGTTATCTGAGTATAGGCAATTACAACATTAAGAAACTGTATTGTGAATCCCTTGCAAGAAATTCTCACAATAATCTACTGCTTAATGGATAGGGACTCGAATTGAGGAATCGGAGAGCCGAGTTCGAATTCCAGTCGAATCCATGACATTCACTTTCGTGCTAATACCCTCTTCTTCTCCACCAGCTATGGGTAACTAGCAGGACAGACCGGGTTCTATAGCGTCGGATGGCAACCGGTCTACTGCAGAAAGAAATGACAACCTACTGCTGAAGTAAACATCTGCCTCGTCAGACATGTTTAGAAAGATACATGATCGCCTAAGCGTATATCAAACTTGGTATATATCTGACTGACTATCAAATATTACTGATCCCCGAAGAAAATTAAAAAAAACTTCATTTAATAAAAGAACCCATATTAAACTGTCACGAAGAAAAACTACACACAATCACCTGCATTTCTTTAAACGCATTAATTCCCAGACAGGAGCCACATTGCTCCCAAGGGAGTAATTTCAAATCTAATTGGAAGACTTTTAGTCAGGAGAAGAAATGGAAAAGAGTTTCAATCCTATGTAGAAATCATGCGTATAATTTTGGAAAAAAAATACAAATGGTGATTCAAAATGAGAGAATAATTTAAGAAAAACGAGATTGAAAGAAGAGGAATGTAACTTGACACTTTTACAATCACTCCTTCTTCTGCGTCTCTTCAGATCAGAGGTGATCATAGCTCTGCACAACTCTCTATTTCGTGTGGCTGTTAGCAGCTTTTCGACTGTTGCAAACGCCCCTCGTGTTCCGCCATCCATTCACACAAACTCGTCGGGTGCCTTCCCCTGTCTCTTTTGCCCTGAATATGCCCCGTGAGGGTTTAGTTTTCCAAGCCTTCCTTTCTCATTATGTGTCCAAGGAATTTCAGCTCACCTTTCCTGATTTTAAGTCTACGTAATTTCATGGCAATTGTTCGGATGAGCTCTTTGCTAAACTTTTTTAAATTTAAGCGCAGCGCTAGTCTGGCGTCGAGATCCCATCAATTTAGAGAAGAGATGGCTTGATGTAACGGTAAATCCTATGTTAACATTTTCTTTTCTCGCACTTCTCGATTGTGGAACTCCCTTCCGGCTCTGTCGTTTCCAGAAAACTTTAATTTGTAAAAATTTAAATACAATGTCAATCGCTATCTACTGTCCTCGCGATTACTCTTTCATCTTCCCGCTCATTATTAATACTTCTGTTTTTTAATTCCTTCACACCCTGTAACCTCTTGCGTCTTAGTGGCTTTACTGCCTTGCCGATTAAAGTATTTATTCTGTTGTCATTTTCTTTAAGATTTCCTCTTTGCTTACCCATCATGAAATTCTCAGTATCCTTCTGAACCACATTCCTGCTGACACTAGTTTTCTCTTTATCCTTAAAGAAACTGTCCGATATTTACCGCCATATGGATGGATGCGACATAGAATCTGGTACTCGAGTGAAAGGAACAGCAACGCGCGCGTAGACGAAAGACAGAGAGGTTTATTGTAAAAGAAAATACACTACAGAAAGACAGGTAATCGGTTAGCAGGCTAATAATTCCCGAAGCAAGGATATTTACCTTACCACTCCGCGTGGCAGGATATGGCACAAGGCCTTTTTTAATGCGGGGTAAAACCAAGCCCGTAGGCTCGGGCAAAAATTCCCAGTAGAGCCCGTATACACGGGGTCGGGTAGCTGTCTACCACCCAAGACAAGACTCTGCCCTCGTCTGGGTTCCTCTCTGTCCGAAGGCAGAGAGTTCGACAAGCACAGCTGGAGACGAATCTCCAATTGCCGAAGCAAGGACATTTGCCAACAGCCCCATGCGGTCAGATGTGGCACAAGGCCGAATTTAACGTAGGGTATCCGAGCCCGTAGGCTCCAGCAAAAATTCCCCGTAGACCCCGTAAAAAAATCCCATGTCTATCACCCCAGACGACACTCTGTCCTTCGGCATAGCCTCGTCTAGGTTCCTCTCCGCACGATGGCAGAGAGTTCGACCAGCTCAGCTGGAGACGAAATTCCAACTAATAGCCGAAGAATGCCTTTATATGCACACTATATATAGCTACTGATATAATTAGTCCAAATTAGGCGATAGGGAGAGTGGGACATTTCTTTACGACAACTCTCCCTGAGCCAATTTTTCCATGAAATTTTGCTCAATAGTTCTCTTTTTTTGGAGTCAAGACATGACTATTTGACTTTTTTCCTCTTCCTAATACTCTTCCGTCTAACCAGTACAAAACTTTTCTTAGAATGATAATGGCTTACGGCCATATCACATTGAAACACCGGTTCATGTACGATCATCGTAGTTAACCAACGTTGAACCCGATCAGTACCTAGATAGGTGACCGCTTGGGAATAACGAGTGATATAAGCTTGGATATGCGAGGGGCCCGGGAATGTTAATCGGGGTGTCTTTATATTGATTTACGCCCAAATAGACTTGGGAATAGCATGAATCCAGATATTCTACGTCCAAATATGGGTTAATTAGTAATGAATAAAAATCATTATTATTTCTAAAAGAAAAAAAAATTCTTACAATCCAAATATATTTTCTTCGTTTAATAAATTACAAAGGGTTGATAAACCGTAAAAATACAAATCAATAAAAAAAAAAAAATATTCTTACGCCAATTGTTATGGGACCTTACCCATAATAACATAATGGACTATTCCATACGTAATAAATACTGCGCCTCAAGAGGAAGCAGGGAGTTCAGTCCGAAATCAGACGTCCGGCTGATCGGTTGAACTCTCTGTCTTCGGGCGGGGAGGAACCCGAAGGAGGCTACGCCGAAGGGCGGAGTCTCTTTCGGGGAGGTAAACCGACACTGAACCCGTTTATACGGGTTCAATTGGGCATATTTTTGGCCGAGTCCACGGGCTCGGAGATCCCACCTTAAACCGGCCATGTGCCACATGATGCCCTCGTGGTGGTGGTGGGGGGGACTAAATACCGTTCAATCTGAAGTCTGGAGTGAGTTCTGTCTGGAGTGAGTTCCGTCTGGAGTGAGTTCCGTCAGGAGTCTGTCAGTCAGTCACAGCGAGCGAGTCAGTCAGTCGAGTCAGAGGCAGTCCGAAACAGAGTCGCGTTCAGACAATTACTACAAGACATTGGAATAGTGATACTCGTCGAGATTACATTGTTCTCCCTACTAAACCTGATTGTTCGTACTAATACTTTCTACTTCTCTGTATCTATTCCTGTTTGTAATATATCTGTGTTATTTCATATCCGTGTTCGAGTTCTTTTTTATTGGTTCTACCTTGGACCATCACCCGGGGTACAAGTACCTTGGACCATAACACCAATTCTTACACTTCTTTCTATTTATGCGTATTTTTTTCAGCTCATTTCCAAACCGCATACAGACGCCTTGTTCCCAGTAAGTGTTACGGACAACTTCAACATCTCTCCCAATGAAATTCTCCTAGAAGTTCTAAAACATAGCAGACCCCACTCCTCACTTACATTTCATATGGCAGTGTTATACAGATAGACTTGTTACTGATTTTCTACGGCGCTTTGGTAACTTTCTAAACACTTCAAACTCGATGGATATCTCGGAGCTATTTTCCTTTAGATAAAACGAGTGTTTTATATCTGTCTAACTTTCTGGGATAAGGAGTTATCATTATTTACTCTATTTATATTAAGGCTATTGTCTTCTTCTTTGTTATTGTTGTTGTCATCACAGCGTTTCGGCCGTTGTACTTTTCGGCCTTCCGCGGGTGGATATTGATCTGGATAATTCTGGAACTCAGAAGTTTATTTGATCTACGGGGTGGGAGTGTGGGTATTTGGGGTGTAGACTATTCACATTCCACTGCCCGTGTCTAAGGTTATCGTCTAGTTCCTATTTATAGAACTGTTCAATCATTGCCCACCCGTTACCACTGAGTCCAAGTAAACACTGATCGACACAGGGATTGAACTCACAACCAGTATGTCCCCAAATTTATGAACCAAACAGTAGGCCATCATCCAGATCAATATACCCCTGAGGAAGGCAGGAGAGCATGACGATTGAAAGGTTGTCATGCCCTCCGGATAACAACAAAGATGAGGAAAATAGACCGAAATATACAGTGTTCGCAACCATTTTTCTTTACCTATGGATCAATTTTCCTTTTTTGCTTTCTTTAGTGAGGGGTGGGGGGGGTGGACCTCAATAACCATTCGATGAAAAAAAGCTTATTTTAGTTTCTACTAATAGATAAGTTTCGGAATTATATTATAAAAACAGTAAATATATATGCTTTATTTTGAAGTAAAACTAATTTACTGAACATAAACTTGTATTCAACAACTAAATTTACATTTCTGTAAAAATAATTTATAATTGTTGTGGATTCCGTGAATGGAATCCTGCACAAATAAATAAACAACCCCAGTAATTGAGATAGAAAAATAAGTGTATTAAAAGTAAGAATAGAGACTTGAAGTGAAGATTAGTAGTCCAGGATTTCGGGTTAGTAGAAAGTATATGTACAAATCTTTGTAAGTAAAGCCGTAATCTCTCTCTCTCTCTCTCTCTCTCTCTCTCTCTCTCTCTCTCTCTCTGGACTCTTGTATAACTCTCTGAGAACACCCTGTGTCTGTCTCCGTATGTCTCAACGTAACTCCACGTATCTCGATATATAACAGCCCATCCACGAGGAATGTATCGAGTTTAACGTGGGTTACTCCGAGCCCGTAGGCTCGGCCAAAAATATACCCTTTGAACCCGCCTAGACGGGTTCGGGATCTGTCTACCTCCCTGGACAAAACTTTGCCTATCGGCAAAGCTTCGTCTGGGCTCCTCTCTGACAAAACAGAGAGTTAGGTAGACGTTGCACACAGTCAGACACTGTATCTCGACGTATCTCAGTATTTAATATTTTCTACACACGAGAAATATATGTGGCACAAGGCCGAGTTTAAAGTGGGTTTCTCCGAGCCCGTAGGCTCGGCCAAAAATATACCCTTTGAACCCGCCTAGACGGGTTCAGGGCCTGTCTACCTCCCCGGACGAAACCTGGCCCTTTGACAAAGCTTCGTCGGGGTTCCTCTCTGCCAAAGCAGACAGTTCGATGGACGTCGAGACTGTATCTTGGCGTATCTCAACAGCAGGTATTCTCTCTGTCAGTATAAGTATACTTTGGACGAGTCCATCTTATGCAAAAAGGGGAGAGCTCCACAACAATAATAAACAACGTTAAAATGTACCCCAGTCATGTCACATGGATCTCTTGGGTCCATATGGACCCAGGTTGAGAACCCCTTGCTGTAAAGAGTGCTTTATATGTCATCAAATAGGGCAGTTTACTTAGAATTAGAAAGCGACAGTTGAAATTACTGTGACGCATAACGAGGAAGGAGGAACACTTCGACGTGGTGTAATGGTTAACAAGCTTGTCTCGCTAGATCCATTACGACTGAGTAGTGAGTTCGATCCTCACTGGGTGCCCCATACTTTCAGTTTTTGTGCCACATCTAAGCTACGCTTAGAAAAGATTTTGAGCACTTCCACGTGGTGTAATGGTTAGCGAGCTTGTTTCGCGAGATCAATTAAGACTGGGAGGTGAGTTCGATCCTTACTAAGTGGCCTACTCTTTCGGCCTTGTGCCACATCAAACCCCCGCTCAGGAAAATCACCATAATGAGGAAGGAGAAGGAATTTAAACCTCTCAGGAAACAGCGAGTAAGCTACATCATGAGCTTGTGTGACAGAACAGCGACTGAGAAGGAGCATAGGGAAACAAACATTACTGATAGGAAGTTGTGGAGATCCATGTTCATCAACGTCCTGAAGAGACGTAGTAGACTATAATATAGAGCGTATGTCTTTGATTAGCTTAGTAAATAATTAAGAAATCCCATGTAAAGGATCAATACATGATGAAAACCAAAAGAGAAGCATGGTATATTTTTTCTGGATGAAGAAAAAAAAAAGGCGGGAAGATGTTGATTCCGAAGAAGGATGAATGAGAATACCATGGAAGGAACATGTAAGCAACGAGGAAAATTTAAGGGAAATGAAAACAAAAGAATACAATTAGAATCAGAGAGAGACAGTTGAAATTTCTGAGATGTGTCATGAGAAAAGAGGGCTTGGCGAATTTGGTACTCACAAGACAAGAAGGACAGTAGGGAAACATCGTGAATCCTACGTAATAAAAGCACATAAATAGATAGGTAAACAGAAAGTGGGATTGGTTGATTATTTTTTACGGCTTATCAACCTTCATCAGGTTATTTAAAGCCAGAAAATATTTTTAGTTTGTAAGAGTTAAAATTTCCGAGATGCGTTATGAGAAAAGAGGGATTGGCGAATTTGGTACTCACAAGACAAGAAGGACAGAAAAGAAACATCGAGAACCCTACGTAAAATATCCACATAAATAGATAGCTAAACAGGAAGATTGGTTGATTATTTTTTATGGCTTATCAACCTTCTGCAGATTATTTAAAGCCAGAAAATATTTTTAGATTATAAGAGTTGAAATTTCTGAGATGCGTTATGAGGAAAGAGGGCTTGGCGAATTTGGTACTCACAAGGCAAGAAGGACATAAGTGAAACATCGAGAACCCTACGTAAAATATCTACGTAAATAGATAGCTAAACAGGAAGTTTGATTGATTGATTATTTTTTATGTCTTATCAACCTTCTGCGGGTTATTTAAAGCCAGAAAATATTTTTAGATTGTAAGATTTTTCTTTCTTTTGTTTTTCTTTTACAATAAGGTTCACCCAGTACAAGGCCCGTGGGCTACTCAAGGTAGAGGATTACGTTAAGGGGTAATTCATATGGATAGGATGGGAAGATAACAGTTAACTCTAGACTTGAACAGGTTAAGATTGTCGTCACCGGAGAAATAACCTCTTGGAAGTCGGTACCACAGAGCAGTGTTTCGCGGGCAGAAGCAGTTCGAGTGGAACATTTCTCGCCGATGGAATACGTAGAGAATAGAGGTGACGTAGCGTGAAAATTCCTCCTTGGAGTGATTTCTAACGCATGGCTGATCATCTCTCAGTTGTGTATCTGTCCTTGGGCAGAGTGCGCCCAGAGGCTTCTCTTTCAAAGGACAGTTGGGTCAACTGAGAAAATCATACTGAGAGGTGCCCAGACCTGGAGAACAACAGCCCGAGGTCGCACTCTCATTGCACCAGAAGGAGGGATCGGTGCTCGCACTGAGGCCAGCGCAAGCGACGGTTGCGGAGGTTATGGGCTGTCCCTTGCCCGGGCTGTCCCTTGCCCTCACTTTAAAAAAGACCTTGTGTCACATCTCGTCCTAGCGGGGGGGGGGACGAGTAAATACCACGTAGAGAATGTCGGTGGTTTGATCCAGTGTCAGCGGCATAAGATAATATTAAGATAATTGAAGATAATAAGATAATTTGAGGATAATAATGATTTAGTGACACAAGTCCTACAAATTAACCCATAGCTGGGGGAGAAGAGGTGGATGCACACCTTCACCCAGTGTATTTGCGCGTAAGTGAATATAAAAACCCAACGGGAATTGGAACTTGGCTCTCCGAGTAACAATTCCTAGGCATTATCTATTACGCCATCCGCACACCCAAGGTTATAGCTCATAACATTTCTAAGCGGTCACCCATCTAGGTACTGACCAGGATCGACGTTGCTTAACTTCGGTGGCCGTACGGGAACCGGTGTTTCATCTTGATATTGTCGTAAGCAGTGAGTTTAAGAGACGGTAAAATGACAAACATTACTGAAATCTAAAAAGGGACAGGAAGTTGTGGAGAGCCATTGTCACTGGTGGGGGCTCATATAATGATTTAGACATCCGAACCGGCCACAAACAACTGTTTTTATCAGAACCTTTCCTTTAGCAATCACCGATAGCTTGCTGCTCATTGTCTCTTTTTCCACTGTCCCTACAAACAAATCGCTCACCTTTATCTCCCCCCCCCCACGCCTCCGCAACTTGAGCTACATCTAACCTATTTATTTCCTGTTATTTCCAGCCCTTCTCCGACCCCTGCCACCATTTGCGTCCAGCTATCTTTTCCCGATATTCAACCCGGTCGGACTCTGACCGGGAGGGGTCGGACAATGGCCCGCTTAACATTAGCGTTGTTCGGAATTACATATCTGATTAAGGGAAATATCTTCTTCCTCGTCCTCATTGTCGTCTCTTTCCTCCTTTTCTCCCCCACTTAAAAACAGACCCTCCACCTGTCACTCTCATTACGTTGCCACAGACTTCCCAGAATGCTCCAATGACGACAGTTCTCTGAATTACTGCGAAACGAACCCCTGTAATCCATTACCGACTGCTCATTTTTTTTTTCGTTCGCCACACCCCAATTTGACCTTAACTCTATTATTCTCCATTTACTCTATCTAAACTTGTCCCATTCGATTTGTCGTCTGCAATAGAAAGGATTTTGGCGGGGCTAAGGATGGGTTATAGTTGGCTTGATTCCTCATCTGCGTTAGCAATGACCCTTGGTATTGTTACAGATCAGAAAAAGCGACGGACATGCGTTGAAGACATCCTGACAAGTTACGTATAGACAATTCTTGAACCAAAACATTCTGAGTGGACTGGGAAAATCAATTTGCAAAATGTTCCCTTGCGATGACATACATTGCATATTTTACAAAGGTTGCGAAACAGTTTTAAAAATGTAGATATCATTTTTCGTATTTATATTTAAATTAAATTATTTTTTAAGAATCTGTTCCTTCTTTCTTTAGGATTGGGTTTCCGGTTCCTTCTAAAGTCAACATCAACTCAAAACGTCTGAAATCCTCGCCTAAACTCTGTTACTAATTATTTATTTATTTATTTATTTTCACAACAGTAGAGAGGTTCTCTTATAGCCCGGTTCACACTTTTCCTTTGTATTTTGAACTGGAGTAGAGATCTCTGTTAGAAATATATGGGAGATAATTGTGCCACTCACTCTGCTCTCTCTCTCTCTCCACACACACACACACACATATATATATATATATATATATATATATATATAAAGAAAGAACAGCAAGATATATAATCCGGTGTTCTTATAGATATTTTTATTTTCATCCTCAAGCGAATTTTGGAGACTCCAAAATTCGCTTGAGGATGAAATGGAATTAATGTCTTTAATTTAATCACAAAATTAAATTCGTGGCTTTTAGCTTCCATTTTTGAAACATGGTTAGAACTGTGTAGCAAAAAAACATTTTAAATCAATTAATTTATTATATATATATATATATATATATATATATATATATATATATATATATACATATATATATATATATATATGTATGTATGTATGTACAGCGTGTCCATAAAGTTCGTGTGCACGTTAAAATATAACTTTTTTGTATTTGCGATAGAAATAATTTGTAAAAAGGTGTAAATCTATATTTTTTAAAGGTTTTATTGAAATTTTATTTAAGTTTCCACATGTCCTCCATCATTAGCAATACAAAGGGCAATACGATTTTGCAGTTCACGGGAAACATATGCCAACTGATTTACAGCAATGCCTGAAATCACATTAGTTATTTTAGCCATACTTAAAACTAGGTTTATTAAACTTTATAACATTTTTTACAGATTATTTTTATCGCAAATACAAATAAAGTTTATGGACACCCTATATATATATATATATATATATATATATATATATATATATATATATATATATATATATATACTCTTGTGCAAATTAATTGAAACAGCCGGTTTAGTTTCCTTTCTTTGACCATACGGTCAGTTTTAGACCCACTAGAGTGACAAGGTGTAATCGATTTCTATTTTTTTCCTCAGATTGGGTCATTGGCAGTGGTGTGCAGTAATATGAATCTATTTTCGGAGTGTATGGCGAAATTTGTTTGGCCTTGAAAAATATTGCGCCATCCGTGATTGCATCAGATTTTTATCACGCCCAGACACTATTGTCTCGACTGTCGATTAGTTGTCATACGACCATTGTCCCCGATGGACGTTACTCCAAGGGAGCGTACGCGAATTGTAACGCTGCTCGGACACTCTGGCATGCCTTACCAATGAGCAAATTAAAGTACTATACACTGGCCCTGAAACTCTCCTGTTGTAAATTCAATCTAGAATCTGTGGTTCAATCTGCGAGGAACGACTTCGTGGAACGGACATACGAAGTACTAATATGTGCACTGGGTCATGTTTCATTGGAGAAATATGAGAAAAAGTAAATAGTAACGGAATTATTCGATTGGTTTCAGTTAATTTGCACAAGGGTATATATATATATGTATATAGGTATAGGGTGCGATGGGTAAATTGTCGCCATTTTATATTTTTAGTTTCGTTTAGTTATATATATATATATATATATATATATATATATATATGTATAAGTGAACATTGAAGTCAACACTCAGAAGCGACAGGCTGTTTTATTTAACAATGTATGTCTGAATAACGATCTGTTGCCCTTATACACTATATATATATATATGTTTTATTTAACAATATATGTTTGAATAATGATCTGCTACCTTTATACATTTATATATATATATATATATGTGTGTGTGTGTGTGTGTGTGTGTGTGTGTGTGTGTGTGTGTGTGTGTGTGTGTGTGTGGATTCCGAGATAAAATCCGGTACCAATAAACAACAAACGCCAGGAAGGAATATATTAAGATAATGTATTAACGTAATAATACAAACTGGTAAAGCAGGTTAGTAGTTCCAGGAATGCGGGTTAGTAGCAAAATGTCTATACAGTCTTTGGTATTGAAGTATCGCTGTTACCTTCACCCTCGGTTGCTCTCGTCTCTCGGGTCTTCACGTAGCAGTAGTATATGTATATACTGGGTGAGTCCATTTGTGTAAAAAAGGAGAGGACAATATGTATAAAAGTAAACATTTAAATCAACACTCAGAAGCAACAGGCTGTTTTATGCTAGACGCAATTGACAGGCCACTATATCGTGATATATATGGTTTATGAGACAATGGCAATTTATTGAATAGATAAGATATTTTTGTGTAATTTTGGTAAATATATCTGTTAAAATGAGATGTGTTATTTTCATTTCAGTTGTCCAATGGAAGACATATGCCACCTTCAGAACGCATTTTTTTCCTATACATAGGCAAACACTAAGAAGAAATATTTGTAGGTCGAAAATTGTTTTTTCTTTTAAAATATGCTATTTATTGACAGTTAAATATATGTTTTGGAGTGAGCGATATAGCGACTCTATCGTTCCTATTCAAATCAATCAAGTGGTAATTTTGTTTGAATTTTGAAGAGTGATAAATACAAGAATTTTCTCGTTATATGCATTTATCTGTTAAAGTATTTTGGCACGTGTCTTCCACCCGACAACTACTCAAATATAAGGATCATTTTATTCAAGAAATTGATAGTAAGTTAATGTCTCATTAAGCCTTGTTAGCGAAGTAATTTCGCCATTAATCACATTAACACTGCTAATTAATTCTTTGTATAAATTGTTTGTTTATAATATAAAATATAAGCTGCACACTCTAATATATATATATATATATATATATATATATATATATATATATATATATATATATATATATATATTTGGTTGGATAGATGGGAGTTTGTGACCCTGGGTTTCACGCTTTAGCGATCGTCAGACAATTGCAAAAGCATGAAACCCAGGGTCACAAACTCACATCAATCCAACCAAATATGTTAGCTCTATCTCTGATATTGAGCGCTTTCTAAGTACCGCATATAATATATAAATAATTATACATATATATATTTATTTATATTTATATACACTTTTCACACACACACACACACACACACACACACACACACACACACACACACACACACACACATATATATATATATATATATATATATATATATATATATGCGTGTGCGTGTGTGTGTGTGTGTGTACACTATTTACATTATTCGGTTTATGTCCTTATCTTTGTCACCAAGTTTATCTCAACGTTTCGGTCGTTGTACGCTCCGGCCTTCTTCAGGTGGTTGGAATGCCGAACTGAACCCTTTATTTCGCTCAGTGGGGTAGACTGTTCTAATTCCACGTGCCATGTCTAATGGATGTCAGTTATCTCCTGTTAATTCCCCTCTGAAAGTTCTCCACTGCCTTAACCAGTTATTGAACTCACACTCTTTGGGTCCTGTCACTGAAGAACTTTTTTAAAGCATTCTGAATGTAAAAATAAAGAAAAAAGTGTGCAAGACAATAAGAAACACTACCTGCCAAAAAAAAGTGAAGTTTTGTTGAAATCGGTTGAAAAATGTAGGAAATCTGATCCCATATATAAACGAACACACACACACACACACAAACAACCTGGGCTTTATAATAAGTATAACTCGATATGAGTTGTCCCCCTTTCATTCTGATGACAGAATCGTGTTTTATCGTGTTTTTGATTGCGTGCAAAAACAATTATGTTTTTCCAATTTTTGGCGCTGTCAGAGCCACTGCAAGGTAATTTTACGTAGTCCTGTGAAGTTTTGTTGAAATCGATTGAAAAATGTAGGAAATCCGAGCCAATATATAAACGTACACACACACACACACACACACACACACACACACACACACACACACACACACACACACACACACACAACACACACACACACACAATCTGCGTTTTACAATAAGATTATATGTATTTCATATATTTAACATTTTTATGTTATATA